AGCCAAGCACCTGGCTGCCTGGAACAGAGAAAGAGCAAGTCTCTGGTCACTCTCCCAGTTGAGACACGGATAAAGAAACCGGAAATCAAATTTCAGCATTTTGAGGAGCTGGAAATGATCATGGACAGAAAGAGGCTTTAGAACAACAGAGGCAGCGCTTGCTTACTGAACTCCAGAACCTCCACGTGGAGAGCCTGAAATACGCAGAATTGCGAGTCCGCCTACAGCATGGGCAGAACCCTCCACAGGGGCACCAGCATATGGGAGGGCCTGGCCTGCCGCCCCTGGGAGCAGCAGGGCACCCCGGCATGATGCCTCAGCAGCAGCCTTCTTCCTACCCTCTGATGCAGCACCAGATAGCACTGCCCTCCCCACTCCAGCCAGGTCAGCCCTAGGTCCAGATTCTGATGTCCCGGCAGCCCATGCCAGGTCCAGGATTCCCACCATTGCAGCCAACATCCACCCTCCTGGCATGCTGCCAATGAGGGGGACATCCTAGGGCCTCCAGTTATCCTCACATTTCCTAAGGGCATGCATTCCTGCTGCAGCAGCAGCAGCTGCCATCACCTGCAGGATGGAGTCCCCCCGCCTCCTGCTCCAGGCCCACCCATCCACACCCAGCGCCACCAGCTGGAGTGAAGATGACAAGACTTAGGTTCCTCAACTTCCTTGGGTCTTTTTTAGGTTTTTTCTTCTCACAGACCCAATCACAAGTTCCACATCCTGTCTCTCCCCATTTCTCATGCCTCCCCTCTCCATGCTCTGACACCCCTGTGTTAGGTCCTCAGCCAACACTCAGGGGAAGCCTTGGTGACAGTGTGCCCTAGTCATCCTAAAAATAACCTCTGTCATCCCTGCCCTGGTGTGGGGTATTCTTTGTCTATTATTTTTGCTCTCCTGCACTTTTTTGCTTTGTTTTATGCCTCTGTGGATAATATTTTATAATCATTGTCTTGTCTTTTTCATTATCTTTTTTTTTTTTTTTTGTCATTATTGCTTTAAAGGAGAGCATTCAAAATTAATAGGAACCAAAAATGGTGATGGGCCAAGGGGGTAGCCAGTGGGGAAAAACCTTAAGGCATTATAAGTTACCTTATTTATGCTTATCTGAGTTAAGAATGGTGCCGATGGTGAAATTTCATGAGGCTTTTGCCACACATAGATGCACCAAAATTCAAAACGATGGGGAAAGGGACTCCACTGATTTTTTTTTCCTCCTAGTGAGGACTGCCAGGGCCTCCACCCTGCCCAGCAGACCATACCCCTTTGGTACCTCGAAGGGTAGAGCACATGCATTAGCACAGATCACTCCCTCCCGGGCCCACAGGCTCTACTTTTTTATGCAGGTTTGTTGGATTGGGATGGGTGTTTTTGTTTTTCTGAAGGCCATGTGAGCTTTGAGGGCTGGCATTTGGGGAAGCATCCCTTAGATCCTGGGACTAGCCAGGAAAATTTTAGGGGCCAAGGGCAATGGCTACCCAACAAATCTACCCCACTATTCACTGCTTATATGCATTCTTTTCCCCCCTCTTAAAAAAAAAAAAAAAAAAAAAGTAGTAGAGAGTGCTGAACATTTTAGCTCATGGAACTTGGTTAGGATGGTGGGGTGCTCCCCACACTACCTCTTGCAGTTGCCAGGGTGAGTGGAATTTAGTGTGCACTGCATGCAGCAAATACTTGGAGGAGATGTTCACACATCATAGAAGCTGAATAATAGTCATACGGAATTTCTATACTCATGATAATAGAATAAAGACATTAAGAAGGAAGGCAGTCTATGTCTAAAGAGAGACAGTGAGATCCCCTCCCCTGCCCTAGTAAATGTTTGAATGTGAGAGCTTCAAAGTCATTCCTATCTCTAATCTATCTGTGAAAATGACTCATTCTATTTCCTGATATTGATATATTGATATTAGTTATACAGCCCTTGCTGTAAAAGTCCTGTCTGGATGGTTGCCTTTAAAAAAACATTAAAAGTAATATCTTATTGTAGGTATGGTAGTAAAACAGAATTCTTAAGCAAGGTCTACACTTTGAACATGTCCTTCAAATTTACTTGAAATAACAAAAACACCCAATCAATTTTTTAACAGTCAGAAAAACTGGCTACAGTGTGTTTAGTGTCACGTGGATACAGCAATTTGCTGATTTCACTGCATTTTTGATGTTCAGCTTTTTACCTTATTTTCCCCAAGTCCAGCCTCAGAGTATCACTTTCTTATCAGAGGAAAATCACTTCCTTTCATGTACAACTACCTCAGAGGGGTCATTTGCTGAACTCAAAATAGTTTTTCATTACCTGACTTTGCCGATTATTTAAATGATTAAGTACTATTTTTCTGCCTTCCGTGCCTCTCTCAGAAAAGGACATGCCAAGGGAAATGAAGCAGTGTTGGAGAAATCACTCCTGCCCAAACTGGCCATTTTGACCGTTGATTCGCTAGGGTTTGGAGAAGTGAAAATAAACGCTCTTGTGGAAAAAAATAAGTGATGTCTTCCTGATTTTGACTTCAGACTGAATAACTAGCCTGCTGAAAAATAACCAATATTGGCTGCAAATGTATGAACAATGCCATGTATTATATGCATGCTCCTTCTATCACCAATCACAAGTCAGGTCCATTTCAAGGGTCTGCAGTTCTAAGCTGGACTCATATTCCAAAGTCCAACAAAATCCTCTATTATGGGTCTCAATTGCCCAGTTACCCAAATCTGGTAGAAAACATGTAACTTTAGTAAAAGAATTGTCTAAGTAAAGTTTTCCTCACACTTTCAAAGTCATACTCCTTTCAATTAGCCATAAAGATCTTTCTAGGGTGTCATTAAAATCATGGAGAATCAGGGTAGGTTTAACCTTCCTAGAATAAGTATTTTAAACTATGCTGTGAGCCAGTGATTTAGGATTATTAAATTAGTGGAAAAAAAGAACCGTTCTTCCATTCTTCACACACGCACACACATACAAACGTACATACATACAAACACACACACACTTCAGCACAGACATACCAATAGTTTCTCACAATTCTAGGGAGGACAATTATACTTTGACCAGAGAATTATCTCATTTTTCTAATTTATTCATAGAGGGTAAATACAGAGAAACAAAGAGCACATGGAAGGTTTTGCACCATTGATTAGAATGGATTATACATTTGTGTATGTTGTCCTTGTGTTTTCTCATAAGTTTCTAATTGGAAGAAGCATTTCAAAAGTGCCATCTTTACCCCAAGCCCTTTCCTCTTTCATTAGATGACCACTCAGCACCAAATCTGAAAAGTTATGAGGAGGGCGATTTGTTGTTTGAAAAGCAAATGCATTTTAAAGTTGAAAACAAAGGTTTTGCTTGTATGAATCCTCCATCTGCTTTTTAGCTACCCCACTTTTAACAGATGTTCTAAAGAAAAAATATAAAGCTTTGAGTCTTACAAAATGTATCTTCAAAGGACAGTGAATGAACTGATGACAGATGGTTGTCCACAAAGCACATCAGCAAAGTATTTTGTGTACAATTGCCAATTTTAGTTTTCTGTCAGAGTGAGGCTTCTCTTTCCTTGCTGCCTGTTTTAATGTCTAATAAACGAAGAAATTTTAAAGATCCCTTAAAACTAGCATTTAAAGGCCTTTTTAAAAATAAATTTAAAGGTACTTGTTAAATGAGTTTAGTAGCTCTAAATGCTTGGTACTAGATACTGGGGCAAAACCTGTCTTATCACCAGCTCATGCCTTTCGTTATATGAACACCTTTTACAAATACACACAATTTGTAAATGTTCTCGCTGACACATCACACAATGAATTAGATGGGTATATATATAACTATTGTACTTACGCAGGTTGGGAAATAATACCCTTTGGAGCATGTGTACATGATATTTAAGAACAACAAATAATGTGGTCTTTGCAAACCAAAATAAATGAGAAAGAAAATTGAAGAGATTGACTTTTCAATGTATCTTCAAGGGAAAGAAATAACTATATTTAAACATTCCATCAACCCGTATCAGTCCATTTTTTTGAGCCAAACAGGACCCTTTTCTAACTCTGAGACAAGCTGAAAAAAACACCTCATTCTAGCCCACCAAAGCAACAAGTTCATTCTGTTTGGAACTGTTATTTTTCTAAAGATGATTTAACCTTGGATGAATCTGAAGCTAAGAAATTACAAACCACATCATGTTAGGTAGGATAGCACAATGGTCACGAGCACAAGCCCTAGCATCAAACCCTGGTTCCAGCAGCTAGTATTTGTACAGCCTTGGGCAAATTAGCATTCCTACTCCTCCGTTGCTTCATCTAAAATGAGGTTTTGTAATAGTATTAAGCATATCATCCTCCGTCATCATGATTGGGAATTTAAGGAATTTTAATCTAAGAAAATAAATTTCAGCCAATTGTAAAAAACAAACAAACAAACTAATTTATTAGCATTTGTATTGTGCCCGTTTATATGTTGACTCCAGAATTCATTTTGGCACTCATTCAATTCAGGTAACTATAGTAATTACAAGTAACACCTTGCTAACCAAGCACTGACTGCACTAAGCATTTTACAGGGATTATTTCATTTTATCCTTACAGTGACCTTGAGATGAGGTCCCCATTTTACACATAAGGAAACTGAGGCTTAGAGAGTTTAAACACTAGCCTACACTTAGCTAGTAAGAAATGGATCTGTGATATGAATGCAGGCAGTCTAATTCCAGAGCCTTCAGAACCAAACTGCTTATAGTAGTTTTTTTAATTAAAAAAAAATTATATATACATGACATTTCCGACTAATACCTAAATAAATTTTATTTAATTCCAAAAGATGTTCATTGAAATATTATAATGTAATCTGAGAATCAGTGAACTTCTAAATAATAGGTTGCCATTTATAGAAAAACTATACTTTAAAAACCCAAATTTCACACATTGCTTGAAATGTAAAATGAACCAAGCCAAAATAAGACCTCAAAAGTAAAACTCAGAGGAGGAAAGAAATCAAAGTTGTTTACCTGCTACTTGAATTGAAGGGAAGAAGTTGAGAGCCAGGAGCAGCCTGAGGATCATTGTGCTAATGGTGGGTCAGGGCTGCAGCCCCTCCTCCCCGAGGAGCCCAAAGTGTGAGGTGGGTGGGCTGAAGACGCACTTGCCAAGGCCTGAGAGTCTCTGTCATCCACTGCCACCTCCAGCTTAACTTCCCTCGGGGCATCTGATCAAACCACATGCATTCAAACCACAAGGCACTGTTTCACACAGGATATTACATTGTTTTGATGACTTTAGACTTTTCTTTTAAAGGCAGCCTTTTCTTGGCACTAAAACAGAATGTCAGCCACTCTATGATGGGCTCATGAGAATTACTCTCTACAGTCTGGTATCAGAAACTGTGAGAAATTGGTGCTCGGAATCCAGCAGGACTTTAAGGGTAGACAAACAAGGTATTCTAAAGGACCAATAAATAAAGTCTCCCACAGAGGAGATTTTCATAGGATGGGGACAGACTTATTGTTAAAAACAACAATAAGAATTATATTGAGGATTTGGGAAAATTTATATCAGTGTTAAAAGGAGTCATAAATATTAGGGACAGAGGTAGCCCTATGGAGCATTTAACACATACTCCTTAGTTCATATGAAGCCTCCCCAGCTCACTTCTAGGAACTTTGAGAAACACACCCTCCTTGCAAGCACCCAGCCCAGCAAAGCACCCTAAGCAAAAGGAGAGTCAAATAACATGGTATGTCCTGAGGGGGACAGTAGGTGACCAAAAGCCCTTTGGTATTGCATGCTCTCTATGTCCCTCAAGGAATCAATTCAATGTTAAGTGGTAGGCAGGAAGAGAGGCTCCAGAGCAGTCTCCCCAAGGCCAGACCTCTGCAGCCCTCTCTGGAGGGCCAGGCCTTCTGCACGTAGAGTCATTCCACTGATAGGGCCAACTCTGCTTCCATCTTCTGCCACCTGGTTCAGGGTCCTGTCCTTGCTGGCTTTCTCAAAACTTTTCCAGTAGTTTTTTCTGCTTTCCTGAAAATCTAAGTTTTATATGATTACCCTAGTTTTTGGTTTGTATATGTGAGGGTTTTTTTTAAGATAATTTGTATTGCTTTCTATTCTGACTATAAAAGTAAGACATACTTCATATAAAAAATTTAGAAGATACATTTACCTTTTTAAATGTTAAAAATAATCATTAAAGTCAAACTCACCCATAATCCTACCACTCTGATATAAACACTTAATTTTCCAGTCCATTGCCTTCCATGTGTTTTTCTATTAAGATTTTTACATACTTAATGTCATGTTTTATTTATAGTTTTCAAAAGATATATACTCTTATCTGTTATATCTTAAACATTTTCCCATGACATATAAGTTTTCTTTATAAACATCAGTTGTAATTGATGCATAATATTTTGTTCTATAATCATATCATAAATTGTTTAAGCATTCCCTAGTATTGTTACCAATTTTTTGCTATTTTAAAATGCTGCAGTGAACATCTTTGATGCCCTAGCTGTATGTTCCTCCCTCCTCATCTGCTGAATGACAGATAAAAAGTATTTCCTCTCCTGATAGGGCCCCGTTTGTCCACATTTCAGTTTTCTCACCAACACAGTCTTTGTGACCCTCCAATACTGACACATTTTTCTGCCCTTTGGAGCAATTTGTCCTTAAAAATGATTCACTTACACTTCTGAACTAAAAGGAAATAATGAAGTTATGCCCCCAGTCCTGGAGAAGATTCTCTATCCTGTTAGGGGGACCTATATCTTACTTAAGGCCTGATGTCTTTCCAGGGACAATTTAAAGAAGTCTTAGTGCCCTTCTCTAAAAGGTTACCCCTATTCTGGAGTGACCAGGCCACCCAGATCTAGAAAAAGAGGCTCTGAAGTTCATCATAGAGATTAAGAATATGTACAGTAGAGACAAAGACTTCCCTCTGATTAATAACAAAAGACTAAGAAGAAAATGAACAATTGTCTTCGAGCATGTGAAAGATGACTATACAGCATCTCGTTAATATTGCATATATGTTAGTGCTTGGTTGAATCAAACTTAACTAGAAAGAAATAGTGCAATTATCTGGTCTAACTATTTTTCAGAGGAGGAAGTTGAAGCCCAGAGAGGTTAGCTAATTTATAGAAACTCACAAAGCAATAATTAAGTGTACTTGATTTTTATAACTTGACTAACCTTACTTGGTTTTTATTCTTTAGAGTAAAAGGAAACAAACTTTGACATTTGCCTCCCTTTTTTATAAACAAGTGTCACACTAAAGAAGCAAATCATTTCATTAGGGTCCTTTCACATTTGCTCTTGAAATTCAGTGGCATTCACATATACTGAGAAGTGGAAATGATAGAGATGAAATAAAGGATATTTAAGCCATCAATGCACAGAATACCAAGACTCTACTACATTCCCCATGGTAAAAATAGCTAGCATTTATGTACCAAGCATTTTATATGCCTGATCTCATTTAATACTCACACAACCTGTAAGGAACGTGCTATTATTATCTCTATTTTACAGATGAGAAGAATGACTCTGAGAGAGCTGAGAAGTCTTGGGAAGCAGTGGAGCCAGCATTAAAATCTAGAACTTTCTAACTTGAACTGCTATGCCCTAATCATAGCACTATACTGCCTCCTTACTGTCAAGCCTCTCCAGTATTGTGAATTCCTTCAGGACAAAAGAATAAGAACTGTGCATTATCTTCCCCTTGCAATCTAACATCCAGCCTGTGTGACTCAAGTGTGGAGAGGAAAGGGGGTGGGGCCCAAGATGCTGGGAAGACATAATCAAACTGTGTTTCATAAAAATACACCTGGATACTTCTGGAGAAATTCCAGATTTTTAAAATTCACACATGATTTTAAAACTCAAGGACATGCGCATTGTGATGAAACAAATGACCTTAATCAATCAACAAAGATACTGAAGTTCTGACTATGTGGCTTGTCAGAGAAAAATATTACAAATGATCAAATTCTATAGGCTGTTTGAAACATAACAGGAACTAAGCCTGGGGTTAAGACCCTGAAAAAGAAGAATCTCAGGGCATATAATATTGTGATATAATATTGCAATATTGTGGTTTTCACCCTTGGCTCCTGGCAAGAGGTCATAAAACCTCTGTAATTTCCTAATCCATAAAGGTTCTAGGAGCATTTTTTTTTCATATTTGGATTTTGTTCTAAAGCATCTTTTGTTCTAATAAAGTGATTCTTGGTGAGCTCTTGGATAGCTTCAGGATGGGGCTGGTCACCAGAAAGACCAAGCCATGATTAGAAGCTTAGAATTTTCAGCCCCACTCCCCATCCTTTGGAGAGAAGGGGGGCTGCAGATTGATTTTAAAATTGATCATACCTACATGATGAAGCCTTCATAAAAACCCCTGAACTACAGGGTTCCCAGAGCTTCTGGGTTGGTAAACACATCACAGGATGCAAGGGTGGTGCACCTCAACTCCGCAGGGACAGAAGCTCCTGCACTTGGGACCCCTCCAGATCTCGCCCTATATATCACTTCATCTGGCTGTTCATTTGTATGTTTTAGCATATCCTTTATTATATAATAAACCAGTAAGCATCAATTAGTAATTTTCTGAGTTCCATGAGCCACTCTAGCAAAGTATTAAACCTGAGGAAGGGGGGTCATGGGAACACAATTTATAGCCAGTCTGTCAGAAGTACAAATGACAACCCAGGACTCGCAACTGGCATTTGTAGGAGTGGCAATCTTGTGGAACTGAGCCCTTAACTTGTGGGGTCTGACACTAAAGCTAGTTAAATAGTGTCAGAACTGAATTATATTGTAGGACAGTCAACTGGTGTCAGGGAATTAGTCAGTGTGGGGGAAAAAACACTTTTGGGAATTCTAGTGGCTAAAATCACAGGACTTGAAGTCCCACAGGCATAGGGGTGAAATCCCAGTTGGGCCATTTCATAGCCATACAACCTTAGAAAGTCATACCCTCAATTCCTCATGTGTAAAGAGAGGATGAAAATAACTCAGGCAATAAGTTGTTCATATCTCACACAATGTGTGAATTTCCACACCTTTAAGATAGAAATAAGATTTAATGACTCTCCATTTCACAACTATAAGTGGCTGAGTAAATATTTGTTGGATCAACCAAAATGGATCAATGAATATATGTTTGATATGTTTATGTGGATCGATTTTACTTCATAGCATGTGTGCCACTAGAACTGTTTTAGAAGTTATCATAGTATTTCTCTCTGGTGCACAGTGCTTTCATTATAACCCATACCAGTCAGTATAAACTACGAAGTATCATTGGAAAGTCTTCAAGAATTATATTTGTCAAGCCGGTCAATGACAGAAAGCCTTTTGGCTATCTCTAATTAATATTAAGCAAGCCTACTAGGATATTTTCTTTTATCTAAATTTCAGCTAGAAACTTGCCTTCATTTTAGTTCCTAATTTTCCATAAAGCTCTGTCATACAGAGGTTCAAATGCTCATCTGGTGATTGTAGGAAAATAATGAAGCCTGACCTGAGTTTCTCTCTTTAAGCTCTGCAGTATTACCCCAGCTGTTCGTATGAAAAACTTATTCAAAAAGCAGACAAAGATGGTTAAGAAAGTCATGCATATTATCACAAACCAACAAGACCAAAGCCTGAAAAAAATTATATTACTCCTAAAAGAAATGAAAGAGCAAGAAATAACTGCCATATTGATCAATGAATCCCACTGAGTAAACAAATATTACAGAAAAATACCTGCAGGAACAGTCTAGGAGGCTTGATCAAGGATTACATGAAAAAATAGCTTAAAAAAATTACCTGAAAACCTTTTGACCGCTTACAGAGAAAGGCAGGCCTACAGCTCCAAGTGGTAAAAGCAGTAGCTAACATTTCCTGGATGCTTCCTGCTAGCAGGTATTGTGCTCAGCATGATGCATGCATCATCTCATTTAACCTCCACAACAACCTTAGGAGGTTGGTACTTTTAATATCTCCATTTTATAGATAAGAAAACAGAAGCTTAGACAGGTTAAGTAATTGACCCACAACCACACAGTAAGTAGTAAGGCAGGGATTTAAACTTGATTTGGTCTGACTCAAAAAGTGAACTCTAGATTAGAGCATCATGACAGAAGTAGATACAATCTTGATCAATCAACAGCTGGAACATGTGA